CAGAGTCAGAAAGTGATATTTGCACACCCATGTTCACAGCAGCATTATTCACAATAGTCAAAAGATGGAAGCAACCTGAGTGTCCAACAAGAAAATGAAAAAAAAAAGTGGTATTTTTACACAACAGAATATTACTCAGACTTATTACTCAGAAAGAAATCCTGACAAATAACATGGATTAATCTTCATTAGGCTAAGAGAAATAAGGCAGCCACCAAAGGATAAATCCTATATGTTTCTCCTTATATGAGGTATCTAGAGTGGTCAAAGTCATAAAGACCGAAGTAGAATGGTGGTTGTAAGGGGCTGGGAGGAGGGAGAAATAAAAAAGTTATTGTTTACTGGGTGCAGAGCTTCAGTTTTGCAAGTTGAAAAAATTTATGTGAATGTGTGGTAATGACAGATTCAAAACAATGTACTTAATGCAAATTAACTGTATACTTAAAAATGGTCAAAATGATAAATTTTAGGTAAATTTTAAAGATTAGAAAATATTTATTCTCCAAGTAAAAATTTAAAAATAGTTGATTAAAAATTTTTTGCCCAATTTTCAGAGAAAAATCTTTTCTATCATACTTTAAAACTTTATATTATCTATGACTTACCTGTTCTTTAATATAAATAGAAGAAAATAAATGAATAGGCAGCATATCAGCATCAATGAAAAACTTTATGAGTTTCACTAGTCATACCTTGGCAGTTCTGGGAATATATAAATTCTCATGGCTATGATTTTAATATTCCGGGCATTAAAAAAAAAACTCATTTTATTGTAATTTGAAAATAAAAATCGTCTTCAAAACCAACCAACCACAATCACCCAGTGACATTTTTACCCATAGTGTGACAATCCAGGAAATCTATTTTAATTGCTCTCAGCTGTGTAAAAGGTTATAAGAGTAAGTTTAATTTTAATAAGAGAAAAATCACTTTATAATTAGGAGTCTTCTATTGGGAATAAGGACCCAGAAGTAGAGTTATAACATCATTTCCCATCTTTATGGTAATTTAAAATGTACATAATAATTTCAAATACAAGATTTCATTTGACCCTCATGTGTATCCCATTAAAGATAGGTTTTAATATAGCAATTTTAAGAATAAGAATACAATTTAAGTGATTTGACCAAAACCAGCTCACTACTAAGAGGCCAGAGCCCAAGTCCAAATCCATTTTTAAATTTCCCTAAACCTTAAATTTAGCTCTCTAGTCAAAGGTTTATTGATCTGTGAGGTGTCCCAAGGATGAAGAAATGCCCACAGCTTGGGGATCAAGGGCAGCAGAAAGGCAGGTACAGGGCACACAGCGCACTACCTCAACCACAAAGTATGATGCTTGACATGTCTACCACCTACCACTCAGGAATATCTATGAAAATCAAGGGAAATTCAAAAATATTTAAAAAGCAAAGTCACTTGAAAGGCATGATTTCCAGGATACTAAGATTCTATGGTCATGGAGACAGTTGAATGTGGAATATGAGTGTGTATGCAAAAACAAAAAAACAAAAAACCAAACATGACTGGTATCCAAAGTGGGTTGGAGATATGACAAACTGATTTTATTTGTTTATTTATTTTTAAAAATTTTTTGGTGGGAAAGCAAATTTGCATTTTGCCCAGGTCCCAAAGAGACACTGATCTCTGAGTTCAAGATGCTAAAGGAAGAGATAAGAGCCTTAATGAAGGAGCTATAACTGAGTGTGCTAGAGGCTGAATATTAAATTAAATATACAATCAAAGGCATAGTGGTATACTTAGTCTAATTCTGGAGGGCACCAAGGAAGGATGGGGCTGAAGGATCTGCTAAGCCTAGACACTTCCTTCATCAGCCCAAGGTTTCACTGCTTCCTGACACTGGAGGCCTGTCTTCCTTTGTTCATTTCAAAAAGTGGGTGGGAGGTCTTGCTGGGGGTTGGCACAGACACTGATGGAAGGCTGTGAAGCCAGCAATCTGGTTGTCTGGGTGATGGGGACAAATACGGAGGGTAAAGGGCTGCCAAAAGGCTTCCAGCCTCAGATTCCATTTCATTCATGCATCTGATCTGCAAATACTGGCAGAGTGCTGACCCTGCCAGGCAGAGTTCTTGGTACTGGTGGTGCAGTGTTGAATAAAACTCAGAAGTTCCACCTGCCTGAGGACACTGACGTTCTGATGAGGAAGGACAAATGATAAACAAAGAAAAACCAGACAATGTCCTGGTACGTGCTATGAAGAAAAAAGCCAAGAGGCATGACTGAGAGTTCTCTTTGGACCATAAAAGGTCAAATAACACTCAGAAATAGAACTTTCCAGGCAGAATACCAGCAAGCACAATGGCCCTGAGGTGGGAACAGGCTTATCTTGTTGAAGAAAAACAAGATTGAAGGGAAGAGTGCTCTGAGCTGAGATTAGAGGGGGAGCCAAGGGCCACGTCAGTTGGGGCCTTGTAGGTCACAGTAAGAAGTCTGGATTTTATACTCAGTGACATGAGAATTCACTGAAGAACAAAGAAGCTACATGTTTGACTGAAGTTTTCAATAGACAAGTCTCATCTGACAGACTGAAAAACAAAAAGGACACTTGAAATTCTATTAAAATTTCCTATTTTAATAGTTTTTTTCTTCTTTTTTTTTTGAGATGAGGTCTTATTAAATTGCCCAGGAAGGCCTTGAACTTGCAATTTTTCTGCCTCAGCCCATCAAGCAGCTGGGATTACAGGCCTATGCCACAGTGCCCAGCATTTTTTTTTTTTTTTTGGTGGGAGGACTAGGATTGAATCCAGTGCACTCTATACCCCAGCCCTTTTTATTTATTTCAATTTTGAGACAGAGTCTTGCTAAATTGTCAAGGCTGGTCTCCAATTTGTGAGCCTCCTGCCTCAGCCTCTAGAGTTACTGGATTATGGGGCACTGCACCCAGCCATGCCCTGCTTTTCATAGATTTTCCACTAAAATCCAAGAAGAGTTCAAGAGTATATAAAAGTCACTTTGTATTAAAATGTGTACCACTAATACTTTCTTTTCAACCTTATTATTTTATTTATTTTGGTGGGGTTCTTTTTTGGGGGGAGGGGGTCTTCTTTGGAACTAGGGATAGAAAACAGGGCTTTGTGAATGCGAGGCAGGTGCTTTGCCACTGAGCTACATACTAGCCCAACCACTAGTACTTTTACAGGAATCCTCCAGAATGAAAAAAGTACAGAGGATCAGGAAACAGGAACAAAAACAATAAGGAGGGCAGAATGGCAGTCAGCTGGCTCTGTTGTCCCCAGACTTATCTCTACAACCTGTAGGAAATCTTCTGAGCCCTAGACATGTGCCTCTGGTTCCCCAATCTTGACCCAAAGGATTCCCGTGACAGTTGCAGACAACAGCTATTTGCCCCAGGGCCCTTATTGTCTATCCTGGGCAAAGAGACCATCTTTCTAGCTCCTGTAGCCCATGAGCCATCTGGGCAACAGCAAATCAAGAAGCTGAAAGTGTGTCAAAGAGACAACACCTCTATAACATCTTTCCCTTGTTGATCCCAGGACTGACAGAACAGGGAGAAGAGAGGCCCAGGGTTTCATTTCCAATCTTCTGCACAAAATTGTCCAAGTATTGCCAGATATAAGTGAAATGTTTAAGAGAAAAAAGGGCCTACATTTGATTCTTTTCTTCCTTTTTCCTTAACCAACATCTACTAAATCATTCCTTGTTGATTTTAGATATTTTTGAGCTATATCCAGGTGCAGCAAGCAATAAAGTTACAAAAAACTACTGATCAAGGCTGCATTTGCTTCTCTTAGAAGGGTCAACAAATTGCCTAATGAAATAAGAGCTATCTCTGTACCCTTGCTGCAACCTGTCTTTGTTAAGTAGAGGGTAGGAATATCACAATCACTTCAAATCTTGAGGAAACCAATTGAATATCCTTAACGTTTTGGGAGAGAAGAAAAACCAAACCAATTCCTAAATCAGTTCAAGGTCAAGACTCAGAAGTGGTAAAATCAGGAAAAAAGGAAAAATGAAGCAAAATGACTGCCAGCTGTGCTAAGGAGTTGAAGTTATTTATTTTTTCATAAAGGCAGACTTTTTTTTCATCACAACCCCCCACTTCAGCTACCCTTTCCCCACCAAAAAAAAAAAAAAAAAGAAGAAGCAGGGAGGTTAGCAGGAGAGAATTTCTGGCATTCATAAGCTCCAAATGGAAAATGTTCAATTATTATTGCAAAATTAGTTTCAATCAGAACACACTAACCATTTCTTATTTTTTCAGACTGCTTATTTTAAAATCAGTTATGTGGAAAATTGAAAGGAATATTTGAATTCCTGCAGTTCAACTTACTTCACACAGAAGGTTTTCAGGTAGTGGTGGAGTCTGGAAGGGAACCTAAGTCTCCAGACTCAGGTTCCCTGTCAACTCTTATTATGTATTTTTAGAATATAAAGTAAAAGCACATTATAGAAAATAGAAACTGGACAAGAAGTCACCCACAATCCCATCATCATACTATATCCACTATATATATTTTGTTTCTTTTTCTTTCTTTCTTTTTAAATTTTTTTAAGTTGTAGATGGATACAATCTTTATTTATTTATTTTTATGTGGTGCTGAGGAACGAACCCAGTGCCCCATGTGTGTGAGGCAGGCACTCTACCACTAGCTACAACCCCAGTCCCTATATTTTGTTTCTTTATCACATGCTTTACAGGTCCCACCACTACATTCTTTTAATCATATTCTTTCTGATACACCAGCCTCCCAAATTACCATAAACACAACTGAGGATAAAAAAGAGAAGACTGATATGAGATGGGATCCAATTTGGTATAACATGAACTAATTTAATTATGTTTGCTAAGGGCTGGTACCCTCCAAGATAAGTCTGTCCCTCTTGCTGAGACACAGTAATAATTATACTATTAGGGTTTAGAATTTAGACCCTTTCCACAGGGCATTTACAATATAATTCTGCAGAGGTCCTAGGACATAAGAATAAAGCTACTTAACCTTAGATCAGCTCTATTCACCCACCTGGTGCATCAGGTACCTGAAGAGGAATGAAAGGATCAGAAACGCTTAGAAGTGGGACAGCAGAATCCACAGTTTGCCCACCCTTCCTTTTCTCAGCTGGTATTGGTTGGAGGGAAAGAGATTAGGAGAGAAAAAAAGAAAAGCAGAAAACAGCAAGTAAATTGAGATGAATTAACCAAATCATAGAGTAAGTCTAACAAAATTTTTTTTTAAATGGTACTAGAGATTGAATTCAGTACTTATCTCTTTTATTTATTTTATTTTGAGACAAGATCTCACTAACTTGCAGAGGCTAGACTTGAACTTGTGATCCTTCTGCCTCAGCCTCCCTATTAGCTGGGATTATAAGTGTACACAAGGGAGTAAGTCTAAATAATCTAGGGTTAACAGCAAAATATCTATGAGATAGATTATGTGTTCGTTTATGTTTATGAGATGTGGTGAGTACTCAAACCAGGATATTCTTATGCCTAAGCTTCTATGTCTTCCTTGAACACTGTAGCCTATAGGGATCCCTTTCAGAATTCCTATGGGATAATTGTCCATATCATACATTTGGTATGCAGATACTAGCACATGTGTATAACTGCTTCCCCTGTACCTATCACCTCTTGGAGGCCCTTTGGGAACTAAGTCTTGTTGTATCATCATAATATTTAATAAAGTGCTAGGCAGACACAAAGGAAGAGGCAGAAATAGAGTTCCTGCGTACTACAAGGGTTAGATAAGCCCTGACCCCTGTACCATACCTACCCTACTACTGGCATTCATTCTATATTTGGCAAATTACAAATTTCTAAAAATCTATATACCCTAAAGAATATCAGAAGAGATCTTAGAATTTTCTAGCACAATTTTCTTATTTTCCAGAAAAGAAAATGAAACCCCAAGTTAAGAGACAAGCCAGAGGTCCACTAGCAGAGCAGAACTCAGGTCTCTTGGGTTTTTTTATATTATACTTCAGTATTCAGCTTGTTCATTAGTCATAATTTCATTTTGCTTTTGATAAAATATGTTTAACATTTTTTTATGTGAAATAATTAAAGAATCAAAGGAAAGTGCTGTAGGTAGAGCCCTGTGAACTGAGCCCCCAGCTTCCCCTAATGGAGACACCTACACAACTGTAGGTCAGCATCACTGGCAATGTGAAATACTGTTGCCTAGATTACTCTGTTTTCAACAGTTTAGTTTGGATCTAGAATGTTCCCCCAGAGGATCCCATGTTAAAGGTTTGGTCCTATGGTTTGGCACTACTTGAAGATGGTGGAAACTTTGAGAGGTGGGGCCCATAGGGAAGTTTTAGGTCATTGGGGTTGTGCCCTCAGGAGGGACTACGGGACCCTAGTTTCTTACTTTTCCTCCCTCTTGGACATGAGGTGAGTAGCTCTGCTCCTCCACATCATCCCCACCACAATGTGCTGCCTCACCACAGGCTCAAAAGCAAAAGGAACATGTGACCATGAATTGAAACCTCCAACATTATAAGCCAAAATACAACTTTTCTGGGGCTAGGGTTATGGTTCAGTGGTAGAGCACTTGCCTAGCACATGTGAAGCACTGGTTTCGATCCTCAGTACCACATAAAAATAAATAAATAAAATAAAGTTATTGTGTCCATCTACAACTAAAAAGAATATTATAAAAATCTTTTCCTGGGATAGGGATATAGCTCAGTTGGTAGAGCACTTGCCTTGCATGAACAAGGCCCTGGGTTCAATCCACAGTACCACAACAACAACAACAAAAACACCTTTTTCTCTGTATTATTTTATTAGCTCAGATATTTTGTCACAGTAATGGAAAGCTGAGCAACACATATCCATTTCTATGCATAGTCTCTCTTTGGTTTTTAACTTGTTGCCTGCGTGACCCACACCTCTGTGTCCATCACCATCATCACAGTCCTGCATGTAGGAGGTCCATATCTGTAGCCCTCTGCTAAAGCTGGATACCTCTGCTCTGTTCTTCCTCCATCCTTCCCCACTCATATCTCTGTCTTCTTTCAGATCTCTCTTTGGAGAGAGATCTATATATTTCTCGATGCCCCCTGAATCCCTCCTTCACACCTGTATGGTATTAGGTTGAATTTGGAAGTCTTGAGGACCAATTCCCTCTCTACTAGCCTCTTTGGCCGGGGGCATCAGATGTGTGGCACTTCTCTTCACCTTTCTAAGCCCCACTGTGCCATCTGTGAAATGGACTTACAAGGATTCAAAGTGTGGGCATTATTGAAGGTATCTCTATGGGCATCTGGCTCTGATCTCCTTCTCCACCATATGAGGACAGTCCCCTGGGGTCTATGGGCAGGTAGGAAGAAATAGGTGAATTTCTTGCTCTCACTCTCTCTACCCGCTAATTCCATGCTTCTCCTAACCAGCCGGCTGACTTGGCCTTTTTTCCCCAGCTACATACCCCTGAGAATCAGTTCCTGGTACCCTAACCTCTTGCTCTCCCCTCCCCAGTACCCTGTGTCCCCTGGACAGATTCCACTGCTGTCATGGCAGCCACCTCTGCCACCCCAATGCTGCCTCATTGGTTTGAGATACACAACAGCATGAAAGGCAAAGGAGAGATCACTGGATGAACCACCAATTCTCCCAGTCCTTGGAACCTGGCTCCCTCATGGGTTTTGAGACAGATGATGCCTATCCTTACCCAAGAGGCCACTGAAATGCAGAAACTCAGTGTTATAAGCACAGACATGGAGAAAGAGAGAGCACATGTGACCCTCACTCAGTATGCATATGTCCCCCATCCCAGCTCACCCATATTTGCAGGAGGTACCAGCAATAGAGAAAGACCATATGGATGTCCAGATGTGGCAGAAGAAAAGGAAGGTGCAGTGGTATACTGCCAGTGGGCAGTCTAGTGGCCTGGGCCAATGAAATGGTGGCAAGAGTGCAGGGGCCTCGGGAGGCTCTTTGAAGGTATCTGTTGACTCTCCCACTCGCCTCAATGGCTATGTCTTGCCTAATAACCAATCAGCCCCAGTGTGCTAGCAGTTGCCATAACACCCAGCTCAGTGACTGACACACCAATTATGGACTGTGAGTGCCTGTTTACTCCCACTTGAAGCCTGACCCAGGAGGGAGGCAGAGGAGGGAAGCTCACCTCTGACCTCTTCAGACATCCTACCCACCCCACTCTTAACCTCCTTTCCTCAGATTTCGAATTCCCACTTTCTAACCCTTACCCTTTCCTTGGATTCCAATATTTGCTAGGATGCCAACCTCCTATCTTCTAAACTCATCTGGGACCCTCAACCTCCCCGTTGCACCTTCAACTTCCCTCACTGTGGCCTACAACTTCCTTCAAACTCTGTTGCCTAATCTCTGAACTGCCTCCTCCGTGGACCCCTAATTCCCTCTGGCAGCATTGAGCAGTTCCTCCAACCCATGTGTGCAGTACTTTGCTATCTGGCTCCATGCATGGGTTAGTTGAGCACTACCACAGAACAGTAGCTCAAGCAGGTAAATCCCCTCATTCTTATCCCTTTCCAGATCCGCCTACTTCTGAATCCTAGTGTTATCCTCTGCAAAAATCTAATCTGTTCTCAATTGCTATAACTGAATTATTAAAGCTGGTTTTTAATTGGGTTTCTTAAAAGCAGAAGGAGGAAGAGAAGGTAAAAAAATCATAGCTCTTAAGCCTCTGAAATATTTTAACATGAGGCACAATGAAACATATTTCAAAGAAAAAAGCAAATTACAAAACTGAAAATTCAGTTCTTTTTTTAAAAAAGTAAAAATAAAACTCAAGATATAAATACAGTGAAAAGTCAGCAAACACTATTCTCTTGGAGTGGGATTATGAGTTTTTTTTTGTTGTTGTTTTTTTTAGTACCAATGATTGAACCTAGAGGCACTTAACCATTGAGTCACATCCCCAGCCCCTTTCTATTTTATTTATTTATTTTTTAGTTGTAGATGGACAAATACCTTTATTTTGTTTGTTTATTTTTATGTGGTGCTGAGGATCGAACCCAGGGCCCAGTACGTGCTAGGCAAGCACTCTATCACTGAGAAACAACCTCAACTCCAGCCCTTTTCTATTTTGAGACAGAGTCTCACTAAGTTGCTGATGCTGGCTTTGGTCTTGCAATTCTCCTTCATCAGCCTCTGAACCACAGGGAATAGAGGTATGTCCCACTGTCCAGCTTGAAAGCTTTTTAAATTTGTTTGTCTTGCTATTGTTTTATGAACTGAACCCAGGACCTCACACATGTTGGGCAAGTGCTAGCACTCCATGAGGTTCCCAGCTCCAGGACTTTGTTGTTGTTGGTTTTCACTCATGAGTTCTTTTTACTTGTTTCTTTGGGCTTTTATCTATTTCTCCAAATTTTACCAATGCACATTTATCAATAGGCAAATGTTTAATATACTAACACACAATGTGAAGTTTTAAACATTTGCCTGTTTCTCCTCTAACACAGTTTATCAATATTTTTGTAGCTTTTACCATGAAAATGTTTAAATAGCCCTGTGCCACAGTACCTAACCCATTATTAAATTTCGGACACAGTTTCTCTTCTGACTTATCGGAAAGTTTAAAATCAATAACAGCTTTAGCTCAGTTAGAACATTTATAGAAAATGGTGCTCTTCTTTTCAGTGCCACATATTAATAAATAAAAAAAGATCTATCAACATATAAAAACATATTTAAAAAAGAAAGAAAGAAAGGGGCTGGGATTGTGGCTCAAGTGGTAGAGTGCATGCCTAGCACATGTGAGGCACTGGGTTTGATCCTCAGCACCACATAAAGATTAAAAAAAAAAAAAGATATTGTGTCCACCTACAACTAAAAAATGAATATTATAAAAAAAGAAAAGAAAATAGTGCCATTCTATGTTTCATGCAAAGGAGGAAAGATGAATTTCTGGGCACATGAGTTTTATTTCACTTTTAAAGAATGAAGGTATTATAGAAAAAAGTTCACGCCTACAAACAAGAAAAAAGGGACAGTGCCAATGTTTATAGAAAAATATGTATAAAATGAGGAAAAGCTTGATACTACTATTTCTTTTGAGATGTGGTTGCTCAGGTAAACATCTCTATCATTCTCTAGCTGTGACTTTGTAGAAGTGGACCACTGTGAGGATCACCCAAGATAATGCACAAAAAAGCATTTACCCAGTCACTTGACATTTACCACATGCTCAATAAATATTTGCTGTTATTACTGATATAACTATACTCTAATATGTGCTTGTGACTAGACCTTCAAGCCATTTAAGGCTTTCAAATTAAATGTAAAGATAGATGGGATAAGAGACAAAAACAAAGACAAAATAGTTTCTCTAAGAAAATAGTTCACACAAACTATGAAGCATAGCCATGTGTGCAAACTGAGAATTAGGTATATAAATTGGGGGTGTTGGGCTGAGGCTATAGCTCAGTGGCAGAGCACTTGCCTAGCATGTATGAGGCACTGGGTTTGATCCTCAGCACCATATAAAAATAAACAAATAAAACAAAGGCATCTGTTCATCTACAACTACAAAAAAATTTTAAAAATTAAAAAAAAATTGGGGTGGTAAGCTAGTGGTAGATGGAAAATAATTAAAGGAACTCTGAGGTTAACACTGGTGAATCTAAGCTCCTGTGCTTTGGCAAAAAAAAAAAAAAAAAAAAAAAACATTTACCTGGCTCTCAATCATTTAGCTAATTTGTACTAAGCCAAATATTGTACTAAATGCTAAGATGCTGTAGCAAAAAACATTCTCTGAGAGCTTATACACAATCCATCTTCCAGGAAAACTCTACCCCACTAAGAACTATGGTGGGTTGTAATTATGATGTTCTATTTCAAGCACAATGGTTGATGCTTTAAACATTTGGTCAACCATCATGAATAACTCGGTCTTAAATTTTTGTGTTATTGTTGGTACTGGGGATTGAACCCAGCTGTGCTGTACCACTGAGCTACATCCCCAGCCCTCTTTTTGTTAATGTTTTCAGACTGGGTTTCACTAATTTGCCTAGGCGGGTCTTGAATTTGTAGCCTCAGTCTCTCAAGTAGCTGAGATGATAGATGGGTGTCACCATACACACCTTTTTTATTCCTTAAGTTTTATTTAAAGTTCAAGGATAGCATGGGAAGCTTAGGGAAATCCTGTCTCAAAATGAAGTAGAAAAGGCTGGGGATGTAGCTCAGTGGTAAAGCATTTGCCCCTAGCATGCAGGAAGCCCTGCAGTTAAATCCCCAGTGCCACGAAAAACAAACAAAAAAGACAGAAATGGTAGGTTTTTATAAATCTAAAAGTTGTCTTTAAAAAGATAATAAAATAGCAAACCTTTAGTTACCAAGAAAAACACAATCCATACAATTAGAAATTGATGTACAGAAAAATACTTCAAAGGGTTGTCAAGAGGGTCTGACAAGATCATACAGAGTACACATGACAAACCGGGAAAATGTTTACATTACGTGACATAAGAAGAGCTCCTATAAATTAATAAAGAAAAGAATGAGCCCAGAATATCAAAAAAGCAAAGGACACAAACAAAATCAATCCCCAAACAAATAAAAATGTCCAGAAAACAATGTCCTCTGTCTCTGGGCTGGGCAGGGCAAGGCAATAGTGGGTAAAGTTACTCTCATTCAATGTTGATGAAAAGAAAATATATTTATAGCTTTCTTGGAGGGCAATTTGGAAATATGTATCAAAAGCCCTCAAATACAGTATCTTTTAATTAACATATAATCTCTTAGAAATTATTTAAGGAATTATACAAGACAGAAAAAATTTAGTTTTAAGAATGCTTACATGATAAAAAAATTGGTAATAATATTAATATTTAGAGAAGAGATATTTCATAAATGTTACTATTCTTCCATTAAAAAGTTATATATTAATATTTATTGACATGGAAAACTACAAATTCCCATAGGTCATTTACAAAATGATAAAAATGGGCCACAGTCAACCAGTAATAACCTACAGCAGACTGCGTAGACCATACTGATAATAGTGCAGTTAAAACATACCCTAAGTGACTCCTAGTTAAGAAGAAACTAAAACTTAAACTTAAGGCAAGTCCAGAAAATCATGAGAATAAGTGCATCACACACCAAAAACTATGGAATGGATGCAGATGTTCTAACCAGAAATAAATTTATGAGGTTAAAAACACTAAGCATATCAAATTCTATATCCTACAAAGAATATAATCAATCACAAGCTCATGTCCATTACTAAAGCATTTAAAATAGTAAAACAGTGAAATCAAAATAATGTTTAAAAAAAGAGGTACGTAGTTATATAACATCAAAATCTAGTCATATAAAGGAATTCAATGCATACATTTTTAAAATGACATTTTAGGACTTTCTTTAATGAAGAGAGGAAAATTTGCCAGACTGATTAAGTGAAAAAAAAAATCAGGTTTTAAAATATGACTGTAAAGATGTTCAACAGAGTCCTATCTCTGGGCCTAAAATAGTACAAGATGTGGTCACATGTATTTTGGTGAGAGCTATTTTTTGTTAGATTCACAAAGATATCTGTGACCCTAAACAAGTTAAATGCCCAACAGACATCAAAAATGGTATCTCTGTGCTACCTCTCAGTGGTTAGATCATGGGGGATTTAAAATTTTTTCTCTATAAATTGCTATATTATATAATAAATATGCATAATGTTTATTAATAAAGAGGAAAATAGATCTCTTATTATTTTGCTTCCATTGTTTTTAAAAAATCTTATTAGAAAATTCCTCCTTCTCCCCCAAAGCACAAATATACAAAGCTTAGTAGAGTCTCAGGTTCAGACAGATCATCTAATTCTTAGATTCTTGAATTTACCCCAAAGAACCTAAGCAATGATAGGAGATTACCAGAGTGCTGCTCCTCAAATTTAGAAATATTGTTTAAGAAATGTCCTGAACTAGAGAGAGCAAATCTGGTAATATCACTGCCAGGTCATTGTACCACTTTAATTCAAAGTGATTCTAAATCTTTCTCTATCCCTTTTCAATTGGGCCATTTTTGAATGAAGAAAAACATATGAGTTATTGCCAGGAGCTGGGGTTAAGGAGCATGTGATAGCTATCTGTGAAGAGAACAATGTCAAGGTGACAATAGTGAGCCTCTTGTCTCAGACGAGTGCCACACTTACCAGTTCCAGCAGAGAATGAGGAAGCAGCAAAAGCATCACCTTGGGTTGACTGGAAACCTGGGATCAAACTCTCAGCTGAGCCGCCAAGCTTTTCAGGATGTTTGCCTGGAGATACAAAATACCATTAGGTTCATTCTAGCAGAATCCTGTGATGCATCTACAAATGGTGGAGGGGAAGGGCACCCTCTGACTGCCTTTCAGACTCCTCTTACTGTATTACTGCAACATCTTGACTATTCACAGGTCCTGTCTAGTCATTCCAATAACAGAAAAGGAAGGAAACTATTAAGAATCAAAAGAGACAACACATGGGTTTTGAAAGATGAAAAGAATTCTGCAGACTGGTTGTGCAACAGTGTGAATGAACTTAAAATTACTGAACTATATATTTAAAATGGCTATGATGGTAAATATTATGTTTTGTGTATTTTACCACAATTAAATGTTTTTTATTTTTCGATTTCTAAAAAATTTTGCAATAGGGTTTCTTTAAGTTGTCTAGGCTGGTCTGGAATTTGTTATCCTCTTGACTCAGCCTCTTGAGTTGCTGGGATTACAGTGTGCACCACCATGCCTGGCCACAATTACGTTTTTTAAGTAAATTAAAAAAAAAGAATAAAAAGAGTGGGAGCTCGGAGAGCAGGCACATGAGACAGAATGTGAGTGAACACAGAGCTCAAGCCTTAAAGCACAATCTCATTCCTCAAAGCAGAATACCTCCAGCCTTCACTGGGAATCTACTTAACAACTTGGTTTTAAGGATTTGTATTAAGGATCTGTTTTCTACGTTGGAAGCATTTTAGAAGTGAGAAGTGGTAAAGATGGCAGTAGTATTATGTGAACAGAAAGGAGACAGAAAAATCACTAAAAATAAGAGAATTTAAAAAAGAAAAAACTTGAGGTTGGTTATGCACAAAAACTACAGTTTCGACAGTCCATTAAGGTACTTATGTTTGCAGTTCAGAACAATAATTGGCACAGATAACAGTGAAAGTGAGTTGCCCAAAAAAGTTAAACTTATATCTTATATTCTGTTTAAAAACTCAGGAAAATAATATAATAAAAAAGATAGCTACAAAATAATAGTTAAAGCTAAAATGTTTGGTCAACAGATTACTGCTACAAAATAATAGTTAAAGCTAAAATGTTTGGTCCTCTTGGTTCTGGTTATACCTTTACCTGTGCTCTTGTGTACACCGAGGGACCTCTTTTCCAACTGCATATTAGAAAACTTCCACAGATATACCTATTGTTCCAAAGTATGTGCATGTGCCTGTGCCTGTGTGTGTGTGTGTGTGTGTGTGTGTGTGTGTGTGTGTCCATCCTGCCTTCCAAATTAGACTATGAGTTTTCTGGACAGAATTATATCTTTTTAAAAAATAAAATCTCCTTTCGGTGGTCAGTCAACAATAATATAGAACACTGAAAACAGTGAGAGAATCAGTGTCCATGGGAAGGCATAGGTTCATGGACAAGCAGTCATTACTTTCTGGAACAATAAACCCACCTACAAGAAGGGCACCATCACAGTCCCCAAGGAGTGAACCTGATTGACAGATTGATGCCACTGAATTGCTTTCAATTTTCTTCTTTAATGCTCACATTGTCCTTGCTGCTACCCACCACAGGTCAGGATTTCCTGAAAATACCTCAATGTTCTGGTAAAAATAAAAGTTGACTTATATGCATACCTGGAAATCAAGCCTTTGGGGACAGGCAAAAGCCAACATTTTCACAAGCACATCCCTCTAGAGCTAACATTCCAACTCTTGCTTATTTCTCAGCATAGAGAATTTAGAGGCAAGAATCACAAAAAAGGCATGGCTTCCTCACCTTCCCCCAGCTTGGCAAAGTCCTTGTTCAGCAGTTCCTCAGCTGTAAGTTTGGAGAAATTGTCATCATCAAAGGGATTCCACGTAGAACCTTCTGAAGGATTATAGACATTTTGTTGGGAGGTGCGAGGAGATCCTGATGGAGTGGTGGTTGCAGACCTAGGTAGGTTCCCACCCCCACGAGACAAAAAGACATATAAAAGTTGAACCAAACAAAAAGAGTCAAACTACTTTTTCTTTGTTTTGGGATAAAATTCTTTTTAGAGGCAATTAATCATTTCCCAGTGTTTTTCTAAAGGGGCTTTCTACAAAGTTTCCATGGACACCCTTTCCACTCATAGACATGAAGGTATCCTCTCCTTCATCACTCTTTCTGTCCCACTATTTTTTTTTTTTAATCTCTTGCTTGGTTTTTCAGTCTTGTCTGCAAGGCCTTTCAGTTCAGGATCCCAAAGGAACCTGTTGTTAGGCTTGTGCATCCTATGGAGATCAATATAAGAGCTCCCACAACCAAGTCTTGGAGCTCTGAGACTGAGGCCTTTGTAGGCTGCCTCCATCTTCCAGGATCTAGCAGCCATGGCATTAAGAGACACCATCACAATTAAAGATAAATGAAAATGGCTACTATCATTTTGTGTGTCTAGGTATCATTACCTGGTTTTCTTTTAAAGTCTGTCTTGAATTCATTTAAAGATTTTTAACTTCAGAGTTAACAGTTCCAAGAAAGATGAGTGTCTGAAACTACATTTACTCAACACTCATCAAAGTCTACTTTATGTCAGGCACAGAGCCAGTCACTAGTTTACAAAAATTGACTGAGGCATGATCCTCATCTTGGAGAACTGGCAGGCACATCAGCCAGACACATGAATAATTAATGATAAAACAATGTGATACATGCTCAATAAAGGCCCAGACGCAATGACATATCAGAGGAAAGGTCAAAGAAAAGGCAACCCCTGACATTGATCTTAATGAAAAAAGTGAGCATTTCCTAAGGGAAGAGAACAGCAGCAGTCCCAGGAGAGGGCTTGGGATGAGCCAAGAGCTCATGAAGGTAGACATTGGCAAGTCCCCCCATGTACAGAGCAGGCATTCCTGAGGTAACCAGTGAGTTCAGATAGCATCCCATGGACAATGAGGACCAATGAAATATTTTCAGCATGGAGACACTTGGTCAGATTGGGAGTTTAAATAACACACTGTATAGCATGTAACAAATAAGAGAATGGAAACAGTGGGCCATATAGAAATTTTTAAAAAATTTTTTTAGTTGTAGATGGATACTATACCTTTATTTTATTTATTTTTATGTGGTGCTGAGGATTGAACCCAGTGCTTCCCACATGCTAGGCAAGTGCTCTACCACTAAGCCACAACCCCAGCCCCAGGAAATTGTTTCTTCTGAACAGAACAGTACATATACTACAAACAATTCCCTTTCTTATAAAAGAACACCTGTGCAGGGAGAATTGTGGAGGAGATGCACAAAGAACAGACAAACACACAAGGGGCAGATGCAAACAGAAAGAAGGATGGCAGACAAAAGGAATGCCTACCCCTTTCTGCCATCTTCTTTAATAACCCAAAAAGTTACATATTACCCACCTCCAGTGACTATACTTTGACCAGTATTCCTTTAACCCTGAGTGCTAGCTAACTGAGATAAGGTCCAGGTTAATGCAAACACAGAGCCTCTCTCCTTCAAAGTATGTCACTATGTAAACCAGGTAGTGCATCCACATAGTAATCTTAATAGCCTCAGCAGGGACTAGCTAGGCATTCCAATGAGGGTGCCAGTTCCCCCCAGGGAGTCTGCTCACCGGGGGAACATTTCTCTGTCTATTTCCATGGTCAGAATACCTATACTTTCTTCCTAAACACAAATACACACTACTATATATACATCTACACACACCCATATACTTATTGGAAAGCATTACACAAAACACCCATGATAAACCTTGCCCACAAAGTGAGAAGAACAAAGGGGAAGCACCACATACTTGGATTTATTGAGACTGGCCTCAGCTGCAGCTGCCTGGAGCAGCTGAGTGGATTTGCTGGCAGGGACCCCAAACACAGCACTGTGGGTGACGTCACTGAGAATCCGCCTGTGCCCAGATCGTTGGGTTTTGGGGGATGATGGAGGAGTCAGAGATCCAAGTTTCTGTCCCTGGATGGTAGGAGGTGGGGTTGTTTGAACCTTTGGCTGTTGTCTTACTGGGGCTTGAAGCTGTTAGAGAGAGAAGTGTTTTATTATTTTTTTTTTTAAAAAGGAGGAGGAAAAGGAAAAGGAAAAACAAATAGATAAGCAAAACAACAACAAAATGCCACAAGTGAGCTAACATAGGACTCAAATGGTTAAGTTTACCAGTAATACTGAGAAAGAAAGAACAAAAAGAAAAAGCTTCTACAATCTGGGCTGCAACTTTTAAGACGGATTCCAGTATAATATTTGATTGTTTTTTGTTTGTTTGTTTGTAGCTGGGGATCAAACCCAGGGCCTTGTGCATGCAAGGCAAGCACTCTACCAACTGAGCTATATCCCCAGCCCTGATAATATTTGAATTTATACATAAATCCAACCTATTACCCATCAATAATATACAAGGTAACCAAATGTAATTCTGCCCACAGAGGAAGATAACAGAAGTTATTCCTAGCTCTAAAGGTCTAGAATGTATCTTTAATGACCTCTTTCTGCTTTTGAGGTCACACAGCAGCTTGTCAGAATGCTTCCAAAGGGCAGACAATAGATCCTACCTTCTACCACAGTTAGAAGTCAAAGAAGACACACCTCCAGCTAAAATACATTTATGCTAAATGATTTCTGCTAAGCGGTCCCTGAGACTCTGCCATAGCTGTGACAAGAGTGAGTCAGATGGAATTCTACTGTGACTGAAACTGGTAGTGCTTTTACTGTGCTGTTATTAAAGCTCTTCGTTTCATTGATGGGATGAGTCTACAAGATCCTGTTTCTGTGGTAACCTCTGAGAAAATGTACAGCATTGATTTAGTGGGAGTTACTTGCTCCAATCTTTAGTTTAGAAATGACATAGAAGAACCAGCAGAAAACATAATAAGAAACAAAAACACCTTTCTTGATGATGACTCAGCTGACAACATAAGGACTCTAGAGATGTGGACCATTTTTAGGAGGGCCAAACTGCTACTAAAGAACAATAAACAAGGAGAACATCCTAGTGGTCCTTCAGCATACATCATCTATATCTAGGAAAATGAACAAAACAATGTTAAGAAACTCACATAACCCATTTCCTTAATTCTGTCAATCTGAAGATAAATGACTTAGGATATTTAATGCCCCATGAATTTAAGTATCCCTTCCCTCAAGTCCCTCCTCTCATATTAAAGCTGCCTCTCCATGCTCCATGCTGCAGCCTGGATCCCATGTTCTGTCCCTCCAGAGGTAGACCTTGAAAGCTCAGGGAAACCAGAGTATTCAGCTATTTGGTTCAGAATACTTATAGCATGGGATACTGACTGTCCTTATGTCATCCTTAGGACATGGAACATTTAGTGAGGCAGACTATGTACAAGTGCCAGTGTACCAACTACCTCACCAATGGGCAGAATGATACAATCATAATGTTCCAGTATCAACTGAACTGAGACAAGAGTAGCACAGTTTCTGCTGAGGGAAAGCAGAGTGGTATTGAAGACCAGAGCTCCAGCCCCACCACTTCCTCTGGGGGTCCAGAGTTGCTCCTATACCAGCCAGTTGAATGCCAGCACTGATGGAGGCTAGAAAGTTTTGAGGACAGACCTGACCGGCCTATTTTATAAGACAATCATTACTCTGAAAAGGGTACTTGTCTGTTCAGTCCCTTTTTTGATGAAGACTCCACACTACTTGGAGAACATCTTCTACTCCTCTTTCCTGTTCTCCATGTGCAGCACACTTTAGAATGGATGCCCATATTGGGGTAAAACATCTCTAATCTGAAGATCTAAAGCCCCAAATGCTCTAAAATCTGAATCTTTTTGTGCACGACATGATGCCACACATGAAAAATTCCACACCCGACTTCATGTCTCAGTCAAAACACAGGGGTACTAAAAATGATACCTCAGGCTATATTTATGAGTGCATATGAAACATAAATGAAATTCATGTTCAGTCTTGGGACCCATCCCCAAGATATCTCATTATATATGCAAATATTCCAAAATCTGAAGCACTTTTGTCCCGAAAATTTCAGATAATGGATACTCAGCCTAACCTATTTAGGGGTTCTTCACAACAATCCTGTCAGCCAGGCAGTTATATGTCCACTTTGAACCAACAAAAGTAAGTTGAAAAGAGTCTTAGAAAACAGATTCCAACACTTTCACTTCAGAGAAGAAGAGACCATGGCCCACTGAGGCTAAGTTCTCACTCAAGGGCACAAGGTGGACTGGAAGAAGAATCCATAACTCCCGACCACCACTCAGGACTCTTTTCTGCACCACAATGCCTCTCATCCAAAGACAAAACTAGAGAGGGTGAAGGAGAAACAGACTGCAAAAGGAGGACAAGGCAGACTCTGAAATCTAACTTGTTGAAGACTTTTTAAAAACAAAATATGTAATTATAGAAGTGTAAGCATGCCAAGAAACGTAAGAATATAGAGAAGAGTGTCTATTCCCACACTCTAATACAATCCTTATCTTGGTTGTGCCTTAAATGTAAGTCAGTTTGTCTCCTCTCCTTTCCCCTTCCCCTGTCCCTGTCCCCCCCCCCTTTCTTTCCCCAGTACTGGGGATTGAATCCAGGGGTGCTGTACCACTGACCTACATTGGGAGCACTTTTTATTTTAAGACAGGGTCTCACTAAGCTGCAGAGGCTGGTTTCCAACTGTGCTCATCCTGATTAAGCCTCCCAAGTAGATGTTATTTAAAGGCATGTACCATGTGTATGGCCTAAGTCTTTTTTTCAAGTATACACTTTTTCCAATTTTACAACTCTTTCAACATTACCTCATGAGCATTGTTCTCACATTGCTGTACAGACTCTCATACTGCTTTATGATTTTTAATGGCTGCATGGTTGGGTTCCTGAATGGTTTAGGTTGCTTCCATTCTTTGGGCTACTATTAATAAGACTGCAATGAACCTTTAGAGCATATGGTCATTTTCCCTTTGCTGATTACTGCTTTCAGATGGCTGCAGGGTGTTCTTATATTCACTCACATGCTTCTCCAAATAAGACTTGCCATGAGTCAGAGATACAGGGATGGGTCAAACCTGGGCAGCTCTATGGTTCCTGGTTAAGTACAGTCAACCCAGTACTCCCTAAACAACTATTTCTGAGCACAGTACTCCAGTGTTTTTCCATGTGGGGAGCACGGAGAAGGTTTATAATTAATTATAATTAATTCCCAGCTGTCCAGGCAAATCTGAAGGGAACCTCATGAAAAGTGATGCTAGTAGTAGTTGAGTACTCATTATCTTGAATGAGCATTTGTTGCTATTATCCTAAAACATAGATCATGATTCTTTGATTATTGCCCCAGGTCTGTTATTGTAATTTTTCATGTCTCTAGGGCAGTTGCTTTCTAGCCTAGGCCTCAGATTTCAATTCCATAAAATCAGGGGACTAAGATGGATAATTAAGATCCCTTTTTATTAAGTCATGTAATAATTTTTTTCAAAACTATTTCCATTAACAAGAAGAACTTTATCTTTTGTTAAAAATACAGAGGATAGCCATCTACCACATATTGCAGGAAGAAAGTTGTTTCATTTCAGAAACAAAGGTGTAAGCACTGAATAGACACTTGGCTAAGACTTAGAGAAGACAATCCATTTTTGGCACTGCTTTTTGAAGGGATAGAAGTTTTCTTGTTTAAGATAGTGACAAAACTATATTAGAAATCAATTCTCAGAAAAATGGATCCTTATCATCTAGTAGTTGAACTTCCTTGGGAATAAGAGAGTAGCTGTAATATTCTATCAACTAGGTATCAAAAAATACCTTTTTCTATCACTATAATCTTTTCTATTGCTATCACTAAGGAAACTCTGAGTATAGAATAAAGGTTTCTTACTAAAGGGCAAAGCAAGAATGCTCAAATGTGTTGAAACTGTAGATGTCAATCAGGAGAGGGTTCTGATGCTATATTCACTCAAATTCTAAATTTACAGGATGGTTCTAACAAGTAGATACTCAGATGCTCTGGTATCCAGGATATTGTGCCATAGTACATGGTCATAGGCAAGTTGGGCCTTCAAAGGTGATACTTGGTAAACTCAAATGCTGTGGCTAGTTGTGTCATTCATAAACTCAACACTGTCAAGACTCAGGGTACAGGTGGAAGCCCACATCGACCCCCAGAGACCGGGAAGGGCACAATGGATCAATCTGCCTCTTGAAGAAGGGAAAAGGATTAGCTCAAATCCTGAGTCCTTGACTATTTGCTCATAGCACTAACAAAGACAATGAACAGCCTAATGCCAGGATGATAAATTAAAATGTATGCCTTCATCAGTAACCTTGAATAATTTTTTTAGAACTCTGTCTTCTACAAAATACTTCATGCTGTCCTTGGATGTATCAAGCAAAGATGAAATATTTTAACTGCAGGGATGAGAAAGCAACCTGGTCCCCCTCACAACTGCTGCCATCTCTTACTGCCCTCTCCCTGGCCCTCAATGCTCACTCCTCTTCTGCCTTTCACCCTGAGCCCTGGTTCTTACTGCGGGCTCCTGAGCAGATGTTGGCTGGGGGACAGAGGCAGGTTGGGCCTGGGGCTGTGGTCCTGCTGCTGCCAGGCTCTTTTGCTGCAGAGCTGCCTGCTGAGTCATCAGCTGTTGCTGATGTAAAGCTGTGGCCAACTGTTGTTGCTGTTGTTGTTGTTGCTGCTGCTGCTGCTGCTGTTGCTGTTGCTGTTGCTGCTGCTGCTGGTAGAAGTTCTGCATCAGCTGCTGTTGAGTGCCTCCCTGGGACACCACAGGGAACTGGGCAATGGCTGGTTGCTGGGTTCCTGAATGTACTGCCTGAAACTGAGAGGAGAGAATGGCAAGAAACGAGGAGGTGAAAAAGGTCCTGTGGCAGAAACACATTCACAAAGATCAGTGGTGAAGCCAAAGGCAAGAGCAGGTAGAAGTCTTATTACCTGGTTCACAGAAATCTCAGGTCATTGAAACAAACACAGCAGTACCTTACATTGCTGAACCATACCCACTGCTTTAGACTGGTTTCCAAGTGGGTTTCTATGCCTAGGCTGAAGGAAGCTACCTGACTTAACAAACATCAGGTGGCTCCACAAGCTGATATGTAACAGAAAAAAATAAATGCTCTCCCGATGATAGAAGTAATCCTTCTTATAAGGGATTTTGAAGTAGTCAAGATTAAAATGCTTCCTTACATGCATAGGATAATACAATGTTGACACTGAAAAAAATAACATAAATGTTAACCCAGCTACTGAAACTCATATCAAGGCTTTCTGAAAATTATTTCCCAATTGCTCTACTTTATGAAAACTCTACCATCTTTATTCAAAATATTCTGATATTTCGTTATAATTTTTTTAAAATTTTTTAGTTATAGGTGGACACAATACCTTTATTTATTTATTTTTATGTGGTGCTGAGGATTGGACCCCGTGCCTCATGCATGCTAGGCAAGTGCTCTACTACTGGGCCACAACCTCAGCCCTTGTTATAATTTTATAGTGGGGTCATCCTACCTTGCCCAGGCTGGTCTCAAACACTTGGGCTCAAGTGATCCTGCTGCCTCAGCCTCCCAGGTAGCTGGGACTATAGACTTGCCAGCATGCCCAGCTTTTATGACACTTCTTACATGTCTCTCCAATCTCCACTGCTAGGAACTATGTCCTAGGCACATAAACAGAGCTCAAAATAAGGCCCTACTGATGAACAAGATCTTCTTTGGGACACCCTAAATACAGTTACCTAGCTACAGAGTTAATTTGGAGGATACCATTTGTCTATTGGGGACAAAGTTAAAGGGTTAGCAACAAAGCAGATGTCAAAATATAGCTTCCTATTTAAAACAGAAAAATGATGGAAACAACCCAAATGTCTATCAACAGTAAACTGAATAAACTATGCATATCCTGAAGAATACCAAATGGATACTCTCAAGCTGTATAGAGGAATGAAAGATACCTCTACAGATGGGTTAGAGGGGATAGAATTTTGTAGATTTAACTCTGAAACAATGTAAATGGTTATAATTCATCAGAATTAAACCAAAATTGAAAAACAATAATGAGCCAGGCACAGTGGTACATTCCTGTAATCTCAGAAACTCAGGAGGCTGAGGCAGGTGGATTCCAAGCTCAAGGTCATCCTTGGCAATTTAGCAAGATCTTGTCTCAAAATAAAACATAAAGGCTTGGGTGTCTTAGTGGAACAGTGCCCCTGGGTTCAATCTCTAGTACTAAAGGAAAAAGAAAAAAAAAGCAATAACTAAAAATGAAAAGCAAAATGATACAAAGAAACCAGTATACAGAGGTAACTAACTATAGCCAGGAATGTGTGTAGGGTGTGGCTGGAAAAGTAGGTCACTGGAGTGTGCCTTGGGGGTTTATATTTTATCCCTGGTAAGCAGAACTCTCTGCTTCCTAATGGCCATGTTCTAAGCTACTTTCCTTCTCCACACCCTTCTACTGTGGTGTTCTGCCTCACCTTGGGCCCAGAGCCATGGAGTTAGCCATCTAATGGATGGAGACCAATAGAAACTGTAAGCTCCAAATAACTTTTCCTCCTCTATGTTGTTCTTGTCAGGTCTTTTGTTCACATGATGATAAAGCTGAATAAAACCATTCCCTAGGTAATAATGTGTGAAACATTTTGAGAATAAATTGGGCAAAGAAATCTTATACTGATTTTTAGTAATCATATTGGTATTATTATCCTGAAACTATAAACCAATTAATTAACTATGTTAATGCTGTTAGGAATCAAGATTTCCAGATAAGTAAAACACAACAGAATCCGAAAAGTTAAACAAAAATCCTATAACTACAAATTTGAATTAGTAATATAAATCTGAATTCATAATGTATATTTTTTCATTGTTGATGGACTTTTATTTTATTTATTTATATGTGGTGCTGAGAATTGAACCCAATGCCTCACACACTCTTCCACTGAGCTACAATCTCAGCTCTCATAATGTATATTTTCTAATAAAACAAAACACATTTTCTAACTGTACACTTAAAAAGCCAAGAAATAACCACAAATCCATTAGTAAGTGAATATCTCTAGCACCAAATGGTAGGTTCTAAATATCATTTCCATTAAAAAAATAAACAGCTCCTTAAAAAAACAGATAATTCCGGGTCAAGGACAGAATGATCCTAGAACAGTGTGTTATCCTCAACGGCAAGGCAATCATTAAAGACTACCAGAGTCACTCACATCAAAAGAACCCAGAAACCAATTTGAAAGTACTTCCACTGGCCAAAATAACTAACAGACAATTTGAGCATCAAAATAATTTTTTTAAAAATGCAATGTATTGAAAGATATCAAACATGTTAAAATTCACAAATTCATAATGATATGAAACAAAAACTTCAAAGTCACTCTTGGATGATGGAGTGAACAAATTCATTATTCCAAAAATTGGCAAGCAAAGAGAAAGAATCAAGCATTTCTCTTGCCTTTCTGAATAAACAGTGCCTCAGGGTAACTAAATAGTTGATGAAAAAAAGTTCTTCACAGAAAAATTCCAGGCCCTAAGTGAAGTGGGAATGCTAGTATATCATTTTGCTATTGCTAGTGAATTAATGGACTTAGGAAATAATCAGCAATGGCTGGTAAGCTAATGAGAAACATTAATAAAATGGATGAGACAGACAACACCTTAACACACTGAATGGTCTCAACATCATTAAAGGAGAAGACAACCAGATATTAGAGGCATCCTGATGTGACGGAATAGAAGAAGCAAGAATTGCCAGACCAAATGGAATATTGAGCAGGCCTTGAGAAACTACCAGTTTTCAAGAGACAGAGGAACATACCAAATGATACCATGGGGCAATCAAAGCCAAATCCAGAAGTGTAGAACATTCCACAGAGCAACTAACCAAGTTTCTTAAAAAAATGGAAAAGGGGAGAAGGAACATTTAGGAAAGGGAAAAGGGAACTTAAGAGATATATCAATTACTATAAAATGTGTTTATAGTATAAAATGTGAAAAATTATAGGTAAAGATAATGGAAAAAATATACCAAGTAAACAAAATATGTGGACCTTGCTTGGATGCTGATTTTAAAAAGCCAACTTAAATTATGAGACATCAGAAACAGTTGAACATGACTGGGCTTTTTTTTTTTTGTCAGTACTGGGGATTGAACTGAGGGCCTCATGCATGCTAGCTGAGACTGGCCTCATATTTGTGATCCTCTTGTCTCAGCCTCCTGAGTTGCTAGGATTACAGGTATGCATGACCACATTCAGTACTACTGGAATATTTGATGATAAGAAAAAAATCAGAGTTTTTTTTCCCTTCAGTATGTCCTTGAAACCCTGAAAAACAGCACCTTCATTGAGTTCCTCAAGCATGTGATAAATTCTCCATGGCCTGAAGAAAACAGTGAATGGGTTGTGAATTATCAATCTACTTCTAAATGCCTTAGTTATCTATGAGAAACAATGATGTAATAAAGGAATGTCTCTGTAGTCCTAGCACTTCTAAGGAATACATCTGTACCTACTGGGCCTTTTCACAATCACGATTCAGCCTGGATCACCTTACCTGCTGAGCCTGGGCCTGCTGCTGCTGGTAAAATGTGCCTGATGGCTGCTGTGGCTGCTGCTGTGGCTGCTGCTGTGGCTGCTGTGGCTGGGGCTGGGGCTGCGGCTGCTGTGGCTGCTGCTTGAGGAAGAGCTGCTGTTGGTGCTGGGGTGTGGCCTGGGCCTGAGATGTTGTCAGACCCTGGGCTGGGGTGGAAGGCGGCTGCTGTGGGGTAGATGGAGCCTGTGGCTGCTTGGGCTGAGACTGAGGCAAAGGCTGGCTGGGTGGGGCTTGGGCTTTTGGTTGAGGAACACTGGTCAAAAGCCCAGGTTGATTGCTGGGTCCTACAATAAGAATAAACTCCATATTAGACCTCAAAACTCTTCTAGATGAAAAACAGCTTTCTGACTTGTCAAAGCAGTAGAAAGGGGGTGATAATTAGGCAGATTATTCTAAGATCCATGTGCTCCACACTGTCTGTCCACATGCTCTGTTTTCCCCAGAATGCCTTTCCATCTTTTTGCCAAACCGTGCTTTAAAGTTTTCAAAACAGGGCTCAACAATAAGATGCAATATTTGATTCCTTTAGAAAGCAGTCCTTTATCCATCATCCCAATTAGCCAATTCTCCTTTAGTTAGCAGCCTGAGCAGTCCTTCATCCATCATCCCAATTAGCCAATTCTCCTTTAGTTAGCAGCCTGAATATCTACAGCCAACTGGCCTTTGCTGCTACTGTAGGTAAACACAATCTTTGTATCAGTTGGCTTGCTGCATGACAAAAGAATTCTTCAAATGTTTTACCTATAGTTTACATAACCCCCACCAGGATGCCTAAATGTCTGGCAGAATTTACCAAAAGCAGCTTTCTCCTAGGGGAAGCAATATAGTTGTATTCCATTACTTGATATTTTGACTCAGTTGGGGATTTTTGGTACTGGGGATTGAACCCAGGGGTGCTTAACCACTGGGCCACATCCCAACCCTTTTTATTTTTTGAGACAGGGTCTCACTAAGTTGCGAGACTGGCTTTGAACTTAGATCCTCCTGCCTCAGCCTTCCAAGTTGCTGGGATTATAGGCATGTACCACTGGGCCTGGTAGATCAATTGTCTTTATAAAACAAAGTTTACTCATCTCATTAGAAACAGAATACCAAAATACAAAAGGGTGATAGATATTTCAAGAAACAAAACATTAAGGAAACAATATTTCCTGTGAGGTTCAAAAGGAAGTAAGTCTTGTTTTTTTTAAAGGCAAGGCAAAGTGTATGAAATAAAGAGGTAGGTATGGGAAGAACAGATCAAACCACAAAGTCAGGGCCAAGATGAGAAAATATAGAGATGATAGCCTTCAGTAGTCTTAATGATCCATCTTAGAATACAATAAGAGGTCTCCACTTTTGCAGCCATTGGCCATACAATTTCAAAGGCAATTCACTTCATTATTCTTTATGTGCCTCTGGATTCCATTCCTAACATGAAACCAGGCTCTCCAACACTTCTGTAATAAAGAGGTACACTCACTTTCAACCCAGTCTAGTAACTGACCTGCAGCCTGAGGTGGGGGCTGAACTGTGGCCCTCTTCCGAGGTGTCAGAGCTGGTTGGATGGGAAGGATTCCTGGATTTGGCTGAGTCTGCCCAGCTTTAGGCCTCTGGCGGGGCGCAATTGAAGTTTCTGTGGTAGGAATGGGATCTGTCAGTCTAGAAAAGGAAAAGTGGGGGGAAAAAGATTCATGTTAAGAGTGGGAAATTGGGAGATGAGTGGGCAGAGTACATAACCCTTTCCCCTCAACCCTTACCCAAACCTTCCAGATCTGCTTAGTCAATAATTCTCAAAGGGTGGCCCATAGGATGTTATTAATGTCTTGAAAAAGTGCTTACTGGGCAAAAATGATTTTAACACAAAGATGGGATTATATTGAGCAGATTTCTTTCCAGCAAATCTTTTCATGTGTGAATATGCATGGTGAATCTATATGGAATGCAATGTTTCTCAAGCTTATACACTTTTTTTTAACATTTAATTTTAGAAGTAGTTGGACACAATACCTTCATTCTATCTATTTATTTTTTATGTGGTGCTGAGGATTGAACCCTGGGCCTCGCATGTGCTAGATGAGCACTCTACCACTGGCTGAGTCACAATCCCAGCCCAAGCTTATACACTCTTGAAACCTTTTTCTCTAATACCTCATAGGATTTCCCAGGATACACTATGGGTAATGATGCTAAAAGAGGTTTGAGGAGGGTGTTCTTTCAGAGATACAGGGAACTCAAACTTGGTTGAAGAAAGCTGTCAAAATGGTCTCTCTAGCTGGGTATGGTGATGTACACCTATAATCCCAAAACTCGGGAGATTGAGGCAGAAAAATCTTGAGTTCATAGCCAGCCTGGGCAATTCATTGAGACCCTGGCTCAAAATAAAAGGGCTGGGGGCTCTGGAGATGTAGTTCAGTGGTATAGCACTTGCCTAGCATGCGTGAGGCCCTAGGTTTGATCCCCAGCACTGAAAGAAAAGAAAAAAAAAAAAAGGTCTCTACAATGAAAAGCAAATGAGTGGATCCAATAAGAAGGAATAAGTAAATAATCTGTGGTAAAAAAAATTAAAATTCAGGAGTATAACAGAAACACCGCCACCACCCCCGCCACCACCCTTTTTCAGTACTAGGAATTGAATCCAGAGTTGCTCTACCACTGAGCTCCATCTCTAGCCCTTTATATATTTTTTTTATTTTGAGATAGGATCTCCCTAAATTGCCCAGGCTAGCCTTGAACTTGGGTTTCTCCTGCTTTAGCCTCCCAAATTTCTGGGACTATAGGCATGTGCAACCTTGCCCAGCATGTACTCCTTTACCAGAGAAATAAAAATTTTAGCTTACCCCAGTGTTATCCAGAGTAAAAGAATCACCTATTCTAGCCACTTTTGCGACCAAGTGTGGCCATTTGTCTAAGCTCTAGCCTTACATAGCAGTTTCTAAAAACCTTAAGAAATAACTGATGTATTCCCTTTTCCTATCTTCTTTGGCCATTCCTTGATCCTGCTGCTTTGGATGGGAAGAGGCTGCTACACTGATCTATGAGGTCACTGGCCACACCTGTAGGGATGGTAGAGTGATGAGCATGAAGAAATCTGGGTTCACGAAACAGAACTGCCATATAAGACCTGGCCTACTCACCTCCAAACTTTGTTTACTTGTGAGAAAAAAATTAACACCTATCTCCAATAAGACACCATTATTTCAGACTTTTTGTAACCACCAGATCCAATCCAAACTAACAGAGGGATGTGCCATGTGGCCCACTTAATTCCTCGTGATGGTGTCGAAGTCCATCATTCATTTACATTAGTTTGGGCAGCTAACTACGACCTAACTCAGATCAGAGTCCACTGCCCTTTGAAAATTGCACTTAAGGAGTATAAATGAGGCTAAGGCCAAAATAAACAAGCTTCATGAGTATTTCCAAAACATGTCTGGCACAGCCTCCATGAATGCAAAACAGGAAGCAAAAGAACTGGCCCTATGTCCTTCCCATGATGTATCTCGAAAGTATGGCTCTCCTTGGCCCAGAAACCTCTCAATGACATCCTGTTAGATGCTCTTATGCTGGACAGAGAATTGATAATATGTAAGTTATCTCATCTGGAGTGGCTGTAACCTGGATAAAGGAAGTGGGAGGGAAAAGTGTGACAGATTTTGGAGGACAGGATAAGTGTAAGAGAAAAAGCCCAGGGTCAGGGAGGTAAACAGACTTCAGTGGAAATCCAAACTCAAAACTATTCTTATTGGTTTCCTGAGGGGAACATCTTAGAAACACATCGGATTTAGAGTCAACAAAAAAAACATTTGAGCTCTAGCTCCCTACTAACTTGTGTCATGATGGACATGTCATTTTAGCTCTTTCAGTCTTAGGTCATTTATGTGTAAAACAAGGAAACATGCGTATGTATCAATAAATATGAAATTGCTTTGTAAACTGTAGAGTGCCCAAAATGTCAGCTGCAGGGCCATCACTTGTGTGCTTTGAAGGATATAGAAAGGATCCTCATTCAGCCTTTGTACATACCACGTTTGGGTTTTGTACATGATTAGTATAAACCAAAAAGATTGAGATAATTAAATCAGCCCCCAAAACAATCCCCAAAGAGGTGAGCAGGGCAATAATTAATGTCAGAAATTTACAAATAAAAGTAACAAGGTTTGCTTGTTTGTTAAGCAAGTCTGCTAACTTTATTAAAAAACAAAGTCATTACTTTAGAGCCACACCTGGAATAATTCTACCCACACAGGAGGCATTCTATAAATATTCAAGACATTTTAAAAACACAGTTTACTTTAAAGTAAATTACTTTCCTGTTCTATTAAAATCCACATATTACCATTTCAGGTCCTTTATTGACACTGTTTGCTGCTAAATATTTCCTTACCCCAGGAGGAGGGGCAGAAAAAGGAGGAGCATAAATATGTTCCTGGCCACCCCCAGAATTTGTCATTTGGAAAGTATGACAGCCACAGGGCAGTGCCTGGCAGATTTTTGGCTAATAGGGATGTGAAAGACCAATGCCCAGCTGCTGTGCTCTGGGTTTACCCTGAGACCACGCTTCCCATAGATTGAGTTCAGTCCTAACATTCCATCCATTGATTCCTATTAGGGGACCTTTCTGATAGCTGATTCTGGTATAAGGGATCCCCAATATCTTTGGTAAGCTTTCCTTAAATTGTGTGGCAATCGGAGACACTTTCTCCAGGTCGGACTTGCAATTTCTGACCTTCTCCCAGCCTTTTCCTGGCTCCTTCCCTGTTTCTCCCTGGGGTTTTTCCCTAACCATGTCTCAGCATCTTTGGCATTTGCTTCCCAGAAGACTGAAGGTGGCATAGAATGTGATTAGCTTGTACTAATGTTGCTGGAGCCACAGTAGTAAAAGGAAAAGGAAGGCAGATGACTAGGGTGGTGAACATGTCTAACCACATACCAGGATGCATGTTAGGACACTCCTGTGCCAGCAACATATAAAGTCTGCCCTTGCCTCATCACTGAATACCCCTGCTACTGTTCCCATGCAAAAGAAACAGCTGTAGTGTCTTTGATTCTCTTTCAAACGTAGATCACACTATTTTATTATATTCCTCCTGGCACTCCTGAAGAATAGTTTCTGCCTAGGGGAGATAGGGCTTGGTTTCCTGATCTGTGCAGTCGCTGGTTGGTTATGGCAAAATGAGAATTAAGAAACACAGGCATTCTCCACTGCGGTGCCCTAGCAGGATGCTCACCAAGGCACTTCTTACCTGGCTTTTGGCTGGGTCTTTTTTGCAGCTGCCTCACTGGCTTTCACTGGTTCGGGAAGTTTTGCAGGAATAGGAGAATTCTAAGGAATTGAAAAGAGAAAAATAAAATATATATATATATATAAAGGACATCACAAATTTCTCTGTAAAAGAATAACCAACCTGATGGAAAAGAAATTACATTTGAGGGTCTTTGGGTGTGACTTTCAGGCACTTTTCTCCCTGTTAGAAGGAAGTTAACCAAATACCTACCAGACCCAAACACCAGTGGGAAGCAGATGGCTGTGAAGAGGTGAGCATAAGCACACACTTTCCCCTTCTGCACCAGACAAAGCTCACTGGGGCTTAATCTTGGTTCCCTTCTCCTTGGTGTAGTTCAGACGTGATGATATAAAAGGAATGGGAAAGAAGTTGTATTGTTCAAGCTCTAGCTATATCTGAGAGACATCAGAGCTGACTCAGGAGCCAAGCAGGGTGCATTCCATCTTCCAGTCAGAATGCTGGGAGAAAACCATAGCCACCCTGTATGTTTGGTGGCTAAGCGAGTGCCCCTTCCCAACATGGGAAGCACTACTCACTCCACAAGCCAAACACTGTTCTTCTAGCTTGACTTCTGCACCATTCAACACTGCATCTTGAGGGAGCACCAGCTAGCTGTACTGAACCACAAAGCAAGTGCTTGCTACTCCTGAGAAAGTGCCAAAAGAAATGAGATTGATGAATTTTACTTTTTATAAACTAGATACCAATCTTAATGTTTTCAATTATATTTCACATTATTTATTTGATAAATGGGAAAGTGCAACTGTAAAGGAAAACATGGTCATGTAAAGTTACTGTACCATATTCCTTGTTTCCATCTTGGAAAACTGACAAACAGAACATGAGCTTTAACACTGGCCTTTTAGGCGGGTCCTCTCATTTCCTCATGTTTCCACGAGGGAGGAATTTCCCCTAGAAAGCTTCTTCTAGCTTCTCCTCTGTCCTTCAAGCATTCCTCTCCCATGGAAGAGAAGCAGCATATTTAGCTGATAAGACTGGCAGAAAGAAGCGAGCTCATCTGGTTTACCCTCATCTTCCTTTTTTTCTGGAAGAGCCTGATCCTTAGGAATCAGGTGGATTTAAAGTTAGGGAGCCTGACAGGTCAAATTATGACCTACAACCCAATCTTTTTATCAACAAAGCCAATATTCCTAGTGCCATCCGAATCAGTCTCATAGCTGATGCCAAATGTGGCAGTGAAAGAGGAGCATTATTTATCAATACTCTCAATCCCTAACAGTGGCATCAAACGTTCATTATTGGAGAAAGCAGCATGAAAATTTCAGATTAGAATCTATTTATGGCCAGGCATGGTGGCACACAGCTGTAATCCCAGCAGCTAGGGAGACTAAGGGAGGAGGATTGAAAGCTCAAAGTCAGCTTCAGCAATTTAGCAATTTAGTTGCTTAGGTCAACTTAGTGAGACCCTGCCTCAAAATTTTTAAAAAGGGTTAGGGATATGGTCATGTAAAGTTACTGTACCATATCCCTTGTTTCCATCTTGGAAAACTGACAAACAGAACATGAGCTCTAACACTGGCTTTTTAGGGTTAAGCATCCCCGGCACCAGTAAAATAAATAAATAAATAACAATTTTACTGCAGCATCCATTAGTAAAATATTCAAGAGATTGGGTTATGCCCTAAAAAATATGCCAAAATTGGGGCTGGGGATGTAGCTCAGTGGGAAGTCACTTGCCTAGTGATATGTGAGGCTCTGGGTTCCACCCCCATCACAGTAAAAGCAAACAATAACAACAACACCACCACCAAAGCCAAAATTGTAAAAAGGTGTTTGCAAAGCATTTTATTCTGAAAACTATGAGTAAAGAGTTTAGGAATACTTGGTGTAGACAAGATTCACATGGTCTGATATGTGTGACACAAGTGTGAATTATAGATGGCCAATGGTGGAGGCAAATCAAGACAGTGTTGCTGTAAGGAGGGAGGGCAGTGGAAATGGGCTGGTGGGACGAGTCCAGGGTCTCCCTCAGGAAGGCAGCTATACACGTTCACAAGATAGCAAGCTGGCCACTCTTCACCCAAGCATTCAATTTAATCTCTAGGGTATTTTTTGTTGCTTTTGTTGTTGAGTGAACTGCCTCAGTTTTATAATTAAATTCAATGGGAAACTGGATTCCTTTTATTTTGGATTCCCTTTATTCTACTTCATGGTTAGCTTTGCTTGAATGCCCCCTAGTAGATAAATCAAGTGACATCTACATCACTTAAGAGACTGATTAACAGCTCAGAACTCAAATGACAATGTGATAAGGTTTACTTTGGTTAACAAGCACCTTCACATACCTGTACATTTGGAACTGGGCATTCTTTCTTGAGAAGTTTGAATGAGAAGTAGGAAACTTGGTAAATATCCGGCCTTTTGTCAGGGTCTGGTTCCAACATATACCCTATGACAAACATATGTGAACTTATTTAATACCCTAATAGTTGTTACATTAGCTAGAGAACATAACTTTTCTACTACCAAAATTTTGATATTTTTAATTTTTATGTCTCATAAAAGTCAAACAGTACAACTAGCCCTTTTCCTAGAAAGGGAAACTAATTTTCCTAAAATATTTAATATCCACAAGAAAATAAACTCTTGGAATTTTAACAAGCTACCTGAAGTTCACATTCTATGCCATGCACAAGAGGGGTGCCGGCTCTGACTCTGAAAGTTACCACCTTCATGTTCTGATATCTAGGTAGTTATATGGTCTAGTGGCTGGCTTGCTTAGTTCACAGTTTCTTGTTAAGCAAATGATTATTCATAACTATAATTATAAACAAAACTCAAAGATCAAGAATTCACTACCTATTCTTTTGTTGGTGATATTAAGTACTTTCCAATTTAAGAGAAATTACAAAGTAACATATACATACATATATACATAGACCGATCGATCTACTTTAATTGTGATCCATAGATCACTTTTCTATTTCCAGATCCTTTAAGCTTCTGCCTTCTTGGAAGCTGGAAAAGCCCTCAGGAAAGTCTTTGAGAAGACACAGACACACGAATATATATCCCAACACTAGTGCAGGGCACTTCCTGCCTAAGTAAATAATGAGTGGTTTTTTCAGAAAAAAATCAGTGAGGTTACAGCTCTGGAAGGCAGAAGAAGCAGAATAGAACACAGTCAGGGAGAAAGCAAAAGACAGTCCAGAAGAGAGAACAGTGTGAACAAAGGCAAAATTGGAGAAAGGCAAGAGAAAGATTCTCCTGCTGCATGGAAATAGGAGCCAAAAGGATAGGGTAGAGAGATGGCTTGGAGGGTGGGACAGAACCAGAACATGAAAATCTTAAATGTCATGCTAAGAACGTGGGCTCCACTATGGGACCACTGGCAAGCAAGTCAAACTTACTGAAAAAGGCATGAGAGGGTGACATTTTATAATAATCTTGTGACAAGGGTGCACTGGATAGCATAGAGAGGAGAGAAGCTGGTGGCCATTCTGCTAGAACAGGAGCTGACAGGTCTGTATACACACCGTGGTGACATGGATGAAAAGAAGAGAATCATTGAAAAGAATCGCAACTCCAAATACATAGATAGATAGATAGATAGATAGATAGATAGATAATGAGGAGAAGAAGAATTAATGCAACATAGAAAACAACCAATTCTCTCTCTGTTGCTAGCCAGATCCAAAGACTATCTTAAACTTCACCCATCCAGTCTTGTTGGCAATACCAACAAGAGAAACTGAAAAGAAGGGGACTCTCATATTGGGGGTAAAAAATAAGGGAAGAGCTGGGCTTGGTGGCCTATGCCTGTAATCCCAGGGGCTCAGAGGCTGAGGTAGGAGGATCATGAGTTCAAAGCCAGCCTCAGCAATTTAGTGAGGCCCTAAGTAACTCAGCAAGATCCTGTCTCTAAATAAAATATAAAAAGGGCTGTGGATGTGGTTCAATGGTTAAGCACCAGGTTCAATGCCTGGAGACCAAAAAAAGAAAGAAGAGAAAAAAGGGAGGGGCAAAAAAAAATCAAATTTTATTTTTTTCCCCACATAAGAATTTTTATTTTTTTCCATTTTGAAGGTACATTCAAATTATACATAATGGTGTAATTCATTGTTGTATATTCATACCTGCACATAATTTAACAATATAATTTGGTCAATGTCATCTCCCTTTTCCTTCCCTTCTATCCTCTCCCTGGTCCCTTTTCTCTAGTCTACTGATCTCCCTTTGAACAAATTGAATTTTAATCCTGTGATTGCAAGGTGATAATGGAATCTTCAAATAGTATGCAAACTGAAATACGAGTTTGGGAAAGATGTCAGTGCTATAAATTTTTCTAAAGAATTGTTGCTTCCAAAATGAATTTAATACATTCTAATGTCTATCAAGTAGAATAAATTTTTTTAAAAAATGAATTTAATGAAAAATATTAAAAAGAAAAAAAATGCTACTTAATTATCAAATTTGGCAATTTTCTCATATTTCCTTCTGATCCTTTTTACATAGCTGCAATTCTAGTTTAGATATGACGCTTTACATCTGAAAACAATCTAACCATCATTAAATTAAATACCTCCCACTGTCATTAATAAATGGAAGAGGCTGATGGATAAAACTGACACAATGCAATATAGAGTCACTTAAACTCTATAATTATTTTAACTTGAATAAGACCTCTACTTTTGTGGCTTCGGTTTCCTCATGTGCATATTAGGGATAATTATACTTAAAATCTTCAGGGTTTTAAGAATTAGAAGAGGTTCAAGTAGGTCCTCAACACATATCAGATGCTCCACCTCTGTTGCTAATTTTGTACCCTATCCAGGACCCAGTTTGAGTTGCTCAGGATTTATGATCCTTAATGGTTAAAACTCAGATGCTAAATGCCTGGACCAATGCGGAAAGATGATAAAAATCTCTAATTCTTTAGCATTTCAGCACAGGGTCTTATGCAAAGATTACTTATTCTACCATCTGGTTAATGGATGTTAGTACATATGCTTGCTATGATGATACAGAAAAGTAGGGAATCTTAGGACTATTTTAAACAAAGCATTGAGTTTAGATGCTTGTTACAAAAATCCAGTGATTAACCTAAAATGAAAGGAAAAACCTAGTTCCATGAAGTTATACAGTCTTAATTATGTATTCATTCCAGCCAATGCACTGCAATCATTTTCATTTGAGTTGCTTCCAGTTTTGCAAAGATGAATTTCTTATCATTTGATATGAGTCAGCTGGACTCCTTTGGAACCAAAGCTTTCATACAGACTGCAACAGGACCCAGGAGTAGTGTGCTGTTCAAAGCACAATTAGGATTTCTGCTTATGGCTGGCTCAGGTGTAAAATAGAGCTTAGATTTCCAGCAAAAAACCCACCACTCTTTTAATTAATCTGTCTAATTAGACACTGTTAAACTTTCTATGTGTTCCCAGCTATTATTAACTGATTAAAAAAAAAAAAATCTTCGCATCCAACCCATCTTCTCCTAGAATTCAATCTCTTTATCTTCCAATTTATTCCTAGTGGTTAGAAATAAAAATGTGAAACTAGAAACTTGAAATACTTACTAATAAGGCAGTGCATGTCTTGAGAATATCGAGAGTTATCAGGAATTGTGAAGTTTCCATCACAAATTGCCACCTGACTCTCCCCAAATGGCAAAGTGAAGTAGCATAATTTATACAACAAACATCCCAGGGCCTTAAAAAAAAAAAAAGAAAGAAAGAAAGAAAGCAGATTGCTATTAGTGATTTATTTACCATAATTGCAAGTGGATCTAATCAAAGATACTGGCACCATCCATATTTACTAGCACATACAAAAACTATATATTATCATTCTATTAGAAAATTGAATTTAGAACTCAATGTGGCTAATTAGCAGCCAAATTACATTATTTCTACCAATATTACCAAATTCTGCTCTAGTAAAGAACAGATATATTTCCTATTTTGCTCTTAAGAACCAGAAAAATGTAAGTGAAAGCCATGTGAATAATTATCAAAGAAGTAGGTCTAAAGTAATTTTCTTTTCACGTTTCAAGAAGCAATGGCTGGTCCCCTCACATCATGAACCATTCCAGTGGAGAAGGAGACAATGGTATGGTACAGGTGCTACCAAGCTATACCACTGTATGCATTAAACTTGGGAGTTTACAGTCAATGACTAATGATATCTGGGGTGTGGATAGGTTAGTCGACACCTACCCAAATGTCTGCCTTCGTAGTGATGATTTTGCCACTGTACAAGTTGACCATTTCTGGTGCTCGATAGGATAGCGTTGTATATCTACAATCAAAAGATTCATTTTTTGTTAAATATATCAATGCTAAAATTATAAACCAGGTGGAGCAGAATTTTTTTTTAACATTAATAGAACCTAATTCCCTGGGAGTAATTTGCAGAAGAGACTATGAAATATCAGTGCAGATAAAATGAAAGGCTGTCCTCAGTACAATGATATCACCACACTGTAGCCCTAAGCAGCAGACCTCCTAATCTAAGAACATGGGGGGGTGGTGCAGAACAAGTGCACTAGGTAAGCCCTAACAGCAACTTTTCTTGCATCCTGAAATGACAAAATCTTCTCCCATGAATCCTTGTTGTCTGATACTGTATTGAGCTTATTTGTTTTTTTAAAAATAGAAAACCCTTTAAATGTGACTCAACAGAGATGCGGCACTGACTGGGATATTTTGGAGAACAACAGACAGTGGGCCCCAGCTGTGGTGGGGTGGATGGGGTCAAGAACCCTTGATCTCTGCTCCTGGAACAAGACTTAAGTAACAGTGTTCTTATCTCTGGCTTAAGAGTAACATAAGCACACCCTCACTGTGAGCAATTGGTGTTACCATATATGTGATTTGTGCTATTTAAATCTCTAGATTCCAGATGGGACTGGTTTAAGTGTTCACCAGGGCAAAGCACCTAGACTAGAAGTTGTCTTGCCCCAGGCCTGGTTTCCTGGGGTGATACATGAAAGGGGAGTGAGGATCTGATTTAGGCATGCATGCTAGATAGGTCAGGCTCTAACTGGACCCACAAATTTAAAGCTATTTCTCATGGGAGTCAGTGATTCAGTGTCTGTAGAGACTTCAATAGCCCCACTCATCATTAATTCCACTGGGCTGTGGGTGAGCTCCTCATGAGCAGGAAGGAAGCAGTGTTCAGTAAAACGGGTTCAGTTAAGAAGCACATCTGTCTGACAGTGTCACATTAGTTGTGATAACACTCGGAAATATCATAGTCCTTTCATGGTGTGTGTATCACTTAACTTTTTGTGAGCATGTGATGTCATAAATCAAAATATACATATCATAGGACCACTGAAAAGTGTTTCAGGATTCCTTCATTTTACTCTACTGATCCACGCCTGTGAATCCCTCCTCATCCTTCTCTTAAAATCAAACCACCCAAATGGTGAATAGAATACGCTGAGATGAAGGATAACTGACTGGTACCATTTTCTTCCCATTCTGACCATCTCATTCACAAGCTACAAGTAAAGTTACTTATCTGATAATGGACAAACTTCCAAGAAAGGAGAAAAAGCTTACTTCTTAATCTCATCTTCCACTGCATTAACTCCTTCAGTTTGTGGATTCTGGAATTTGTTGGTGGCACTGCCAAAGTCACACAGGACATAGTGGCCTCGGTCATGCAAGAGGATATTTTCAACCTGAAAAACATTCCCCAAATACCCATTTCAAGATATTGTTTAGTACTGAATTTGAAAATGTGCTTTTACAGTCACATAAATAAAATATTTTATTTCTGGCAATCTTGTTAGTGTGTACAGTTAAGTTATTCCCCATCAAGCATCTCAATAGGGGCCATCCCAAGTGGAACAAAATGAGAGGCACAGGAACAGGGTGAAATGAGGACAGAAAGGGCAAAGAGGAAACTCCACAGTGGGGGAAGCCAGAGTTCCATTTTTCCAAATTTCCAGTCACGTTTCTCACCTCTGCAGAGATCTCATATGTTTGAGTTCTTACTCTTCTTTCATTCTGGAATGCTCTCCATGATTCCCCACCTTCCTATCCAATTACTAAATTATCAGTTGTCTTTCAAACCCAAGTTCAAAGATAACTTCCTTTTTGAATTTTCCCCCCATTCAGACAAATGTCACTCCTTCCTTATTTTCCTTCAGTACCTCATTCTCCCACGATGTCAATTACTTCACCTGGACATTTAATAATGTTTTTAAAAATCAATCAATCAATCAATGTCTTTACTAGGTTAGGATTTTCAGAATTGGTATTTTTATATTTTAATTACTTCTCAAAGTAATAAAATGCCTAATGGTAAGTGGGAGTTTCCCTGTTAAAATATTGCTATCCTGTATTTTTGTTTTTCTATAAATGAAATATTTGGGCAGTGAGGAGTTCTAAGTTAGCAGGGAATTTATAAGAACCAAAACCTAGAGAAATCCCAGGTATCAAAGGCCTCTTTCTATGAAAACAACTCCAAAATAGAGGGCACTGTGTTCTCAAGATGAATTCCTGGTGTAGGAAAACTGAGCTGACTGGTGTGCTGGAGGCCAGACCTGGCTATGCGTGGGCAGTAAAATGGCAGCCAAAAAATCTTGTTAGGCCAATGAGACTGTAGTCTCCATTGTCTTTTGTCTTCAGCCTTCCAAAGACTGATCACCTTTGGAAAACAAAGGCAAGAGTAGACTATAAGCTCCTTAAAGACAAGCATCACCCCTTAATCATATTTGTCGTCTTCTCTACCCAGTACCTACACATAGATATAGTATATGCTTGGTATAGAAAATGTTTGTTGAATGGAGTAAGCCAAAAACCAGAATTACACATAACACTGTTTGTATGCATGAGCACATGCACATATGTGTGCACTAGTGCTGTGTACGCACTGGTCTGTTAGAAGAAGTAGGAGTCACCAAAAACCCAGATCCTACTAGTTCTTTTAAAATATCTGAGCAATTATGGTAATCTTACACTTGTTTCTCAATTTTCTTTTAATTCTTGTCAACATTAAATTAAGTACATTTTTTAGTCTATATCTGTTAATTTCAATTATTTTAAGTCTGTGCTGCAAACTGATTCGGCCATCTATTATTTCTTATTCCTACTGAACTTCACTCATGGTATCACTGTTGTGAGCACTTTTTTGTTGTTAACTTACATTCCTTAGAATGTCATCTGTAGGAAGTCTTTGAGACCTCTGGGTTTAAGGTGTACTATTCTGCCAGAGAAGACAAGAAGGATAGTGCTGGTATACCTGGGGACACTACTAACCTATATTTGCTTGATTCTAAAATTTTGATCTTGGCATTAGCCACAGAAGCAGTGAACAAAGCCCATAAACCTCTACAGATACACTCTTATGATAAAGAATTCATAATCACATAACTGAATTAAGAATAACTTGGACATATTTGTTCCCTTGAATTAAGATGAAGGCAGACAAATATTTCTGCTGCCTATAGTTTTTTATAAAGCTCATTTGTTTATTTTATTTACACAAAAAGAAACAGGCTATGCTGAGCATGTACTTATTTTAGGAATCTAAAATAGTTCCAACAAAGCAGTAATAATGTTTTCAATTTAATTTAGAAGTTATAAAGTAATAGTCACAGTTTAATGAGCTTTTACTATTGCCAGTACTACTGTATTTGTCACATGGATTATTCCACTAAATCCTCATAATAATAATGTTATTATTATCACCATATTGTAGATGGAGAAAGTAAGACACTTAAGTCACTTCTAAATGTCATGCAGTTTGAGAAGAAGATCACCACTAACCAGGGACGAGAGGGGGGAGGGAAAGAGAGAGAGAAGGGAAATTGCAAGGTAAAGAAAGGAGACCCTCACTGTTATACAAAATTACATATAAGAGGAAGTGAGGGGAAAGGGGGGAAAAAAACAAGAGAGAGAAATGAATTACAGTAGATGGGATAGGGAGAGAAGATGGGAGGGGAGAGGAGGGGAGGGGAGAGAAGGGGAGGGGAGGGGGGATAGTAGAGGATAGGAAAGGCAGCAGAATACAACAGACACTAGTATGGCAGTAGGTAAAAAAGTGGATGTGTAACCGATGTGAATCTGCAATATGTATATAGGGTAAAAATGGGAGTCCATAATCCGCTTGAATCAAATGTATGAAATGTCATTTGATATGTCAAGAACTTTGTAATGTTTTGAACAACTAATAATAAAAAAAAAGAAAAAAGAAATAAAATATAAATGTCATGCAGCAAATATATGGTATAGCTGGGAATTGCTCAAAGCAAACTAACTGTGGATGTGGACAATTAGATTTCTACTAGTGCAAGAAGTAAGTCAAAATAAGAGTGATTACTCAAGGCCCCACACTGACCCTCCAACTATGGTAACAGTTGTGATGACTTTACACTTGCCCAGTACTTTGGTCTGGGCTTAAGAGTCCAGAAAATGCTCCAACCATAGAATCTAGTCAATGAGGAGTCAAGTGTCTAAACGCTAGCCAGGTTTGCTCAAGGTCTCCCAAGGATTCCTTATATTACCTATTTTTTCTTTTATTTAATTGCTCTCTCTTCAGTCAAATCCCAGATATTTCTCAAGACCTTGCTCAAGTCATAACTTCTCAGAAAAACCTTCCATAACTTCCCTACAAAATCTACAGAATTTAGTGTCAACAGGAGGAGTCATAAAGGCCTTTGGGCCAAAGCAAGCCATGCCCATTGGTTACTTATTCTGTAGTCTATGGCTGCTTTTGTCTGACAGCAGAGTTTAACACTTAAAACAGAGACTGTATGGCTGACAAACTTGAGATATTTATTGTCCAACCCTCTGCAGAAGTTTGCCAACTCTGGTCTATAATGAACACTCAATCATCATTTAGAATTCTTTTGTGGACTGGTATTTAATTTCTTACAAATTATGCTTACTTTCCCAAATAGAGCACAAAACCTTTGAAGCCAGGACATTGTACTATACCCATGAATGCTCCACACTGTCTAATCCAGTACTTTTCTCACACCACAGACCCTTAAATGGTGCTGATAACATCACTTACTCAGCGTCTTCAGCAAAAGTCTCCACCCTGGGCCTTACTGCTCATGTGAAACCAAGCCTCTCTGTACTCCCTTTCTGAGTCGACTTCTATACTTCTAATGCTGGGATGTACATCTAGAAAACTGGAAAATTAATTCACAGTAAAGCACTAAGAAGGCAGTTGGAGGGACTATAAAACTGCTGTTGTGGGAGGTAGGAGGACTAAGTAGACAAAAAATAAAAAGGAGGCAGACTTGTCCTGATAAGGACAGCAATTACTGCTCTGGTGCTTTGTGCATTTATGAGAGGATCAAATGAGATTATAGAGGTGAAATCTCTTGGCAGTGGCCACCTTAGCAATTGGTGCAATTTCCATTCTCAATGTGTCCTTTAACTTGTGCTCCTATGAAAACCTCCAAGGTTAACCACCATCACACTAAAACACTCCACAGAGAGCATGGTATATGGTAGCAACACTGGGATTAGGCAGAAAAAACACCTCAAGGATTATTTTTGAGGTTGACCTTGATCAAATGTTTAACCCTTTTTTGAGTGTGTTTCTCATCTGCAACATTAAGCTGATAATATTTGTTGTTACAAAGCAACTTAGAAAACGAATGTGAAAGTAAACCACAAATCTCCCCATATAAATATAAGACATTGCTTCCATTCATTTATGAAAGAAATGTGTTTGAATTCCTACTGCAATGCCAAGTAGTTTTCTAGGTTTCAGGAAAAACGTGATGAACAAAACAAAGGCCAACCTCTCATGGGGTTTACTGTCCAGCTGGGGATAATAAGAAATTAATTATAATTGTCTGGTAGTGGCAAATGTTATTTAAAAATTCTAGCAAGCTAAATCTATATAAGGTGAAGAGGGATGTTACTTTAAATAGCAGTTAGGGACGGTTTCTCTGATGAGGGAAGCAGAGGCATGAATAAAGAAGGAGCAGCCATGAACCATCTGACTGAAGAACATTCTGAGCAAAAACCAGTTAGCACCAAGAACCTGATATGGACATGTGCTTGAGGTGTTGGAGGCATGGAGACAGGCCAGTTGACAGTGGACTAGCATTGTATTTAGCCTTGGTAGGGGGGAGGGGGCATTGAAAACATGGGATAAGTCTATTATCAGCCAGTGCATGGGAAGTTCAGACTGGTGAAAGAGAAAAGAGAAAAGGAGAGAGGACCAGAGAAGTAGACAAAGGGAAGTGAGAAGGGTCACTTAGGAGGATAAAGTATTTTTAAGGTCAAGAGCACAAACACATAGCCATTTTAGGAAAGTCAGTTTAGTCAAAGTTGAGGGAAAAATAAGAGAAAGAAAGTTGGGCATGGGCGCATGCCTGAATCTTAGTGAGGAGTATCCCAAGTTCAAGGCCAGCTTCAGCAATTTAGCAAGGCCCTAACCAACTTAGTGACACCCTGTCTCAAAACAAACAAACAAACAAAGAAACCTTAAAACTGGGGATATAGCTCAGGGAACTGGGGATATAGCTCAGGGGTAAAGTGGTAGAGCACTCCTGGATTCAAATGAGAACAGGTGCAAATGGTCCAGGTGTGAGGTGAGTAAGGCCGGGTACAGAGTAAGATATATAGTGTAGCTATGGAAAGGGGTAGATGGTGAGGTAAACCACCAAGGGATGTTCATACACTATCTGCCAAACACATCAGAGAACATGCA